CTAATACCTTATAACAGTACAGGGGCGGTTAAAGAATATATAAAGCCTAAGCAATAAATGTTAATGAATTTTTTTTTTATGTTTTTATTTAGAATAATTTTAAATTAAAATTTATTATTTTTATTTTTTGAGATTCATAATTACTAATTGATTTTTTTATCTAAATTATGCAAACATATATTTTGAATTGATAGTATGATATTTGAGCATAAATATTTTGATAGCATTACAATGTATTACCTCATTAACATTTTTGTGTTCTTCTTATTTATTTTTATATACTTCACCGAAATTGTGGTATTACGTGACTGACTATTATTAGAAATACATTCATTTTTATCTTTTTGTTGAATTATTCCACTATTTTTTTTATTTTTTTAAAAATCATTTACTTGTTTATTTTGCAACTTTCAACTAATTTGTTGTTATATTTTACTTGTTACAAAAAACAACTTTTTCAAAAAATTTTTTGAAATTAAATCAATTCTTACTTTGGATCCTTTATGAAAATGAATAGCTTGATTAGTGTTTTTTGTACTGATATAACAACAAAATCGAGTTTGAGACAGCAAAAAATATTTTAAGGTTGTTTTTATTTTTGTAGATGAGAGAGAAAGATTAATCATTATTATATTGTATTTGATAGGAGAAAGTTAAAAAAAAAAAATAGCTGGTGTTAGATTTTCTTCTTAACTTTTTTTGTCCTTCAATAAATTTGATTGTGTGAAGTGAATTAGACTTTTGGGTCTAAATTTTAAAAATAATTTTTGCTTGTTTACTCTTTTTGGGCTTTCTTATTGGACAAAATTGTATTGAATTTTAATTTTTAATCTATATTATATTATCGCCCTCTAAATTTTGAGGTCTTATTTATATGAGGGATTTATAGGCCGGTCCTTAGGTCAAATAGGATTTCATAAAAAAAAACCCACTAGCGAATTTTCTTTTAAACTAAGGCTCTATTAAAAAATCAAAGTAATGGACATAACTAACGCTCTTTATAATTGCAAAAAATAATGACAATGTCATCACCAAATTTAAACATTTATTCTAAAAATTTATGTCATCATAATGTATATTTTTCTCCACAAACACAAATCGTAAGGCACATACGCTAAAAAAAAAAACGGATACGCAATTAAAAAAAAGATGTGTATACTTTTGAGCCAAAAAATAACATGTATGTAATAAAAAATTGAAAATAACAGGTACGAAATATATAAAAAATAACAGGTACGCAATAAGACAAGTACACTAAAACACAGATTGTCAGACAGGTACACTAAAACATAGATCGTTAATGTATCTTATTCTCTACAAACACAAATCATCAAACATATACACTAAAAGGTAGATGGTTAGACAGGTACACTAAAATACAAATTATCAAACAAATACTCTAAAATACATAACATTAATGTACCTTCTTGTCCATAAACACAGATCGTCAGACAGGTACATTAAAACACAGATTATCAGATATCATCATAATGTCCAAATTATTTAATTCACGAGTTTGAATTTCAAAACTGATAGACAATGCTGCAAAAAATTTAATAACAAACGCAAAAAAGAAAAAAAAAGAATAAACTAACTATATTTTAGGTTGAAATCACGTGACGAGGGTAAAATGGGTAATGAGCACTATAAACTAACCAATCCCTTAACATTCACGCCAATACAGAGACCATTGCATGCAAGTTTTTTCAAAAACCAAAATTTTTTTTTTTATACTAAAAATTTGGTTGAACTAAAATTGATTTACATATTATATGAGGGACACTAGCCTAATTAACTATATCTATATTTGGAGCCTAAAACCCACACTTTTTTTCTTCTACTATTGAGAAGATGATATAATAGGGGGATTCACTTTTCCTACATGTTGTATTGTTATTGGTTGATAATACGACGTGTCACCGATCACGTAATATTATTGTTGTAATAAACACTTACTCTGGTTTTAAGCCCGGTTCCTATGACCCTTTTTTTTGATATAATTGTTACAATGAGCAACTATGCCTGATTCAAAGCAAAAAATAAACACTTTTAAGTTTAATTTTAGAGAGTTTGGATGATAAATGAATAAATAGTTTGATGTGTCAAATAAGTGATGGATATGAATCAAGTTAAATATAATATATATACAATTCAACTCAATCAAATACAACTTATAGATGATACATTTTCGATATTACATGAGTTCGATTATGGGCTTGTTTGGAATTTGCTTTTTTAGGTAAAAAACTGCGATTTTCATAGAAAAAAGTTATCATTAAAAAAGTCTCAAAAAACTGTTTGGAAATTATTTAAAAAGTTAAAAAAGTCCGTTTGAAGTCATTTTTAACTTTTTTTTGTGTTAAAATAAAAAAATAATTACATAAATGTATAGATTATGCATAATAGTTCTCAAAATATAAATATCAAAATTTTTAACTTCATTATTAATATTTTATAAGTATAATAAACTAAAAAATTATGTAAGGTTTACGACAAAAGTCTAAAAAAAAGCTCATAAAACTTCTTCAATCAGCTTAAATATTTTGAATCAAAAAAAATTCTGCATAAATTAATAAAAAAATTAAGGTCCAAATAGACTTGATTATTTTACTCCAAAACCCTTAAAAACTACCCTTCAAAAAAGTCCTACATACGATTATAAATGAGTTAGACATAAATTAAATAAATTTTGAGATAACATAATTTACATGACTTAAAAACATGACATAATAGGATGCATCATTCTTGAAAGTCTTTGCCTATTTTACTTTAGTGCATTCTCTCAACATACTTTTCTTCAATTTTCCTTCATGGTTATTTACTATGAAATAAAATGAGACCTACTATATTTTTAGAACAGATACTAACATTACAAAACGATTTCAAAAATTATAAAATATAGTATATATGTTTATAATCAAGATAACTCGTGTCTGAAGGCACGATGCAATATGGATGATTTTGAGAGGAGTGTCGGTGACCATTGAATAAGTCTATTTGAGACCTTCAAATGAGTTTATTGAAGTATGTTTTGTTTTATATTATAGATTATAGATCTTACACATCTTCCTTTGTAGACAATTTTTTTTATAAAAGTATCTAAAATTAAGAAAAAGTATCTAATATTTAAAAACAAGATAGAAAATACAATTGGCCCATTTTTTTTAAGCACTTAGAATTTCCAACATTAAAGAAACATAAAGTTAAAAATTTCTAAAACTATATTACTAAGAGAAAAAACTTAAAAACCAAGGACCAAAAATATTACTAGTTCCCCATCCAAAAAACAGTGGTTATATATCATTAACAAAGATCGAGAAAAAGTATATTCGAAAGGATGTGAAAATATAAAATTATGTATGGAAACCATGTCTAATAACATCAACAAAGGATTTGAAAATTAATTTACTATTACAATTAGGAAGTTGACAAATTAACTTATAAAAATACAACAATTATCTAAATTGATTTGATTTTCATTTATTTTCATCCAATGATAAAAATTCATTCAAAAAATTTTTCTCCCGCTCAAAAATATCTTCTTCTCTATACGACTATCAATGTCAGACAACTCAATTGAGACATCAACGTACTCTTTAATGTCAAACAATCTCATCAATCCACCTACATCTCTTTTCTCTCTCAATTTTCAAATTGTATAATTTAAAAAATAAATTATTATTTAAAATATAAATATTGCATAATTAATGTTCGTTTTTTAATATTGCATAGTATGTTCAGGCAAGGGATTATTGTTTGTTATAAAATATACATATGTTCTCATTTGCTTACGTACTCCATTTCTATAGAAAAACTTTAAAAAAAAATGGGTTAATAGTACTTTTAATCTTTAAAGTATGCATGTTTCTCTAATTTGGTTATCAGTGTATTAATTTTGTCAATTTAATTCTTAAAGTGTTAATTCGTGTCAATTTAGTTCATAACTAGATAATTCGTTAAGTTTTTGTATTGGATGTGACCACATGTCATTCTTTCAGACGGTCTCACGTGACTAACACATGATCATTAAATATTTTAGGAATTAAATTGATAAAATAATAATTTAATGACCAAATTAATAAAATATACATATTTTAAGAACTAAAAGTGCTATTAACCCTAAAAAAAATCTAAAATTAAGAGAAAATATCTAATTTTTTGAAAAACCAAACAAGAAATACAATTAGGCCATTTTTTGGGCACTCATAATTTCCAAAAATAAAGAAACATAAAGTTAAAAATTTCTAAAACTATATTATTAATACCCCCGTTTGTTACAATAAAAAAATGGAAGGATAAAGAGTTAAAATGATGAAAAATTGGAAGGATAAATAAAATATTATATTTGGTAAAGAAGAAAAATAGGAAGAATGAAAAGGTGGATGAATTAATTTTTTTTTAATTTACCAAAATCAATTCCTCTTAAATTAAGATAAAAGTGGATAAAAAATTAATTATGTGCGTTAAAATATATGTTATTTGTTTATATATTATTTAATATATACATATATCTTATTTATTAATTATATATTATGAATTTATATTTTTTCATTTTTTTATTAATACTAAACATAAAAAAATTAATTATTTTTATTTTTTATTCATTTTATCAAACACACACAAAAAAAAAAAATCTTGCTTACTATTCTTCCTTTCCTTTCTTAGGAGATAGAAAATAGATATTTCTATTTTCATCACTCTAACGTTCTATTGAGGGGAAAACTTGAAAAAAATTCTGAATACGAGTAGGTTTTGTGTTTTAACTATCTATCGTCCACCCCTATCTGGCCAAATCCATCTGCGATGCCCTCACTCTCTCTCACCTCATAATCTCAGCCCCCTCCCTCTCCTCTCCCTTTCTCTCTCTACCCTAATCTCATCAATAAAACCTTACACAGAATTTATATTCTCTCTCTCACACACACACTCTTACATTCACATAGATATAAAGAGGGGGAGGGAAAGTAAAACCTACTAGAATACACGCTCAAAAACCAACAATGAAACACAACAGCTTATCGCCGTCATCATCATCCTCCGAAGCCGTTTCATCATCGTCGTCGTTATCAACCTCCGACCAACCACATCCGTCCGTTCAGAGGACTTCATCAACATCGGCCTCATCGTCATCGACTACGGCGGTGGAGGATCCGGCAGCCTCCCGAGACACGTCGTCCGGCGTCGCCGCGGAATCCGTCACCATCGAGAGGCGTGGCGATTACGCCGCCTTCTGTAAATGGACAATCGCTAATTTCCCCAAAGTCAAGGCGCGAGCTCTCTGGAGCAAGTACTTCGAGGTCGGTGGATTCGATTGTCGCCTCTTAATCTACCCTAAGGGAGACTCCCAAGCTTTGCCTGGGTACATCTCCATCTACCTCCAAATCATGGACCCTCGCAATACGACGTCGTCTAAGTGGGACTGCTTTGCCAGCTACCGCCTCGCCGTTGAAAATGTTTCCGATTCCTCCAAATCCATTCATCGCGATTCCTGGCACCGATTCTCCTCGAAGAAGAAATCCCACGGTTGGTGCGATTTTACCCCCTCCAATTCAATCCTCGAGCCGAAATTAGGGTTTCTATTCAACAATGATTGCGTACTTGTTACTGCTGATATATTAATTTTGAATGAATCTGTAAATTTTACCCGTGATAATAATGAATTGCAGTCGAATATACTGTCAAATTTGATTGTTACTGGTCCGGTTGGAGATGTATTGAGTGGGAAATTTACTTGGAAAGTTCATAATTTCAGTTTGTTTAAGGAAATGATTAAGACCCAGAAGATTATGAGCCCAGTTTTTCCAGCCGGGGAGTGTAATCTGCGGATTAGTGTGTATCAGAGCTCGGTGAATGGGAGCGATTACTTGTCCATGTGTTTGGAGAGTAAGGATACGGAGAAGACACTTGTTTCGGATAGGAGTTGCTGGTGTTTGTTTCGGATGTCAGTGTTGAACCAAAAGCCAGGGTTGAATCACATGCACAGGGATTCGTATGGGAGGTTTGCAGCTGATAATAAGAGCGGGGATAATACAAGCTTGGGGTGGAATGATTATATGAAGATGTCCGATTTTGTGGGAATGGAGTCAGGGTTCTTGTTGGATGATACAGCAATTTTTAGTACTTCCTTTCATGTGATTAAGGAATTGAGTAGTTTTTCAAAAAATGGGGGGTTCATTGGAGGAGTGAGGAGTGGGAGTGGCACGAGGAAGTCTGATGGGCATATGGGGAAATTTACTTGGAGAATTGAAAATTTCTCGAGGTTGAAGGACCTTTTGAAGAAGAGGAAGATTACGGGGCTTTGCATCAAGAGTAGGAGGTTTCAGATCGGGAATCGGGATTGTCGGCTTATTGTTTACCCTAGAGGTATTTAACATGTTGAGACAGCATAATTCAATTATCTGTTGTCTGACATTCTTACAGTTGATAGTTGCAAATTGTTGACAATGATTAGTATGCATTACAAAGGCATGTTTGCTTCTGCAACTTTTGTATTGCTGTGGTTTATCATTCTTACTCTAACAATTTGTCTAGGCTAATAAATGATTGCTGAGGTCTGTGTAAAGGGTAGAGAATTTTTTTTCCCCGAGGAATTGAGAGGTTGGCTCATTAGTAGTAAATGTGTCTTTTCACTTGAAATTGTGATTGCTAGACTTACAATTGCTTTAAGTGATGCTTATGGAATAGAATTGGCGAACATATCAAATTCTTTGGTTGGGTAGGTCCTTTCTTTACTAATAACCGTAAATGCATATAGATTGCCAGTTTTCTTTTTATTTTGAACCTTTTGATTGGAAATAGTTAAACTAGTTGTTCATGTTTGACATAAGCATTTGAACTGATGAATATCTCACTTATCTTTGTGGTATCAGGGCAGTCTCAGCCACCATGTCACCTTTCAGTATTTCTTGAAGTTACAGATTCACGAAATACTGCCAGTGATTGGAGTTGTTTTGTGAGCCATCGATTGTCAGTTGTGAACCAGAAAATGGAGGACAAGTCTGTTACGAAAGAATCCCAGAACCGGTACTCTAAAGCTGCAAAGGACTGGGGCTGGCGTGAATTTGTAACCCTTACTAGTCTTTTTGGCCAAGACTCTGGTTTTCTCATACAGGATACTGTTGTGTTCTCTGCAGAAGTTCTTATCTTGAAAGAGACGTCCATACAACAGGAATTTAGTGATCAGGATACTGAGTCAGACAGTGCTAATCCTCAAGTAGATGGAGTTGGGAAAAAGAGTTCATTTACTTGGAAGGTGGAGAATTTCTTGGCCTTCAAGGAAATAATGGAAACACGGAAAATCTTTAGCAAATTCTTTCAAGCTGGTGGATGTGAACTGCGGATTGGTGGGTGATTGTTTTTTTTGATGCCCTCTCTCCTTTATATCATCGCTAGCATTTATTAGCCTTTTCTTCCTGGAATGATGGTTTATTTTTTGGGTGATGCAGGTGTCTACGAGTCCTTTGACACCATATGCATATATCTAGAAAGTGATCAGTCAGTTGGCAGTGATCCTGATAAGAACTTTTGGGTCAGATACAGGATGGCTGTGGTGAATCAAAAAAATCCAGCCAAGACTGTCTGGAAAGAGTCTTCTATTTGTACAAAGACATGGAACAATTCTGTTCTCCAATTCATGAAGGTCTCAGATATGCTGGAAGCAGATGCTGGATTTCTTTTACGTGACACGGTTGTGTTTGTTTGTGAAATTTTGGATTGCTGCCCTTGGTTTGAGTTTTCAGACCTAGAGGTTAGTATAAATTGACCCATTTCATCTACGATCGTCTCCCAGTTTTCCCTGGTGATTCAGAAGTTTTTTATTTAAATATATGTTGGACTTTTGACCATTGTGAGAATTCTGTGATTGTTGGGACTGACTAAATCTCAACTCTGGAGATAAGAATCTTTCTAATTTTTAGGCACTATCATTTGACACTTTAATTTTCACTTCATTATCCAGCTAACTTGGCTTTGGCTACTTGTTCAAATTAATAATGGATGGGTGTGTTAGAGATTGCTTTAATAAAGACAAACAATGTTTTGTATGAAATAATGGATGTTATTGTGCTTGTGTGATAATCTGTATTCAATCTGCATTCATTCATAATAGTTGATGCATCTTGCAAGTGGTAAAAGTGACTGTCAAATGCTGCTTTGACTGGACTGATGTCTCTGTGTGAGTACATACTGGCACATGTATTCTAAGGAAGTGAAATATGAGACATGGCAGAACAAGAATACGATAAGAAATAGTGAATGTGTGTGTGAATGAGGATGGTTATGGATAGAAGATAAGACACTTTTTTGAGAACCTTTATTTGAGCAAATTTTCTTACTCCTAGTAATGCAAGCAATCACACAGCAACACAGTTTAAACAGACATCAAGCCAATCAAGCAAGCAGTGGAAACAATCTGGAGTTATTTAACAAGCAAAGCAGTGGTTGCACATTGGTGGCTTACAATGCCTCAACAGCGGCAAGAGTAAGATGGTGAAGCTAGGGCTGGAGTAGAAGGAAATAAAGGTGAAGGAAGGAGAGGGGCAGAGGGCGACCTTACCAAGAGGGAGAACACAATGTGGACTTCTAGGCCTGGCAATCACTCTATGTCCCACAAAGCCGGCAAAGAAGGTGGATGGGAGAAATTTAAAGGATAGAAGAGAAAGGGGAAGAAGAGAGGAGGAAAAATTCTTGCTGTTTTCCCAAAAAACTAACTTTATAGATGCCAATTGTTAGGTTGGGTGCATAGAATGGTGGAGGGAAAAGTACAACCCTTTGCAGCATTATAATTTAAGATTAGATGCGACTCTTAGATCTCCAAATTCTACATTGATTTGCACCTAGAGCTTAAAGAGCTTGCAGTATACTTAAGTCTTCATGTGCTAAGCATGTGATGATTTAAATGATGATTGATAATGGAACAGGACATATAAAATGAAATTACAGACTGTGAATTCAACCAGAACAATAAATATACAAAACAACATTCTAAGCTGCACAAAACATATAAAATGGCAAGTAGATTACAAATTTGATGATTTGCCAAACTCCTCCTTAGAAGGTGTTCTATTTTCTTCTCCCTCCCGCTTCCTTTCACTATATTTTCCTATTCTGAGACTTTAAGAAGGATTTTTAAAGGACAGGGCTAAAAAAATTACTAATGTATTTAGAGATTGATTGAAGAAATTAAAAAGAAGGGTTTAGGATATTTAAGGCAATAGTTTGAGAGTGTTTGGTGAAAAAAAGGGGAGAACTAGGTTTACCAGTTGCCATACAGTGGTGTTCACGGTTTCTATCAAGGTAATTGGTAGATGCTTTGAACAGTGATAGGATATCATGTCACTAAATTTTGCAGCATGCCATGGTTTTTGTAAAAAGATGCTGTATGGGATGGATTATAAGATATGAATGCCCGGCCTTCCCATTTCTTTTTTTTTTTTTTTTGAAATCCAAACTTCTACATTTAGGAACAAGTCGAGCAGACAATAAGTATAATATCCTTTCTTACAGGAGCACTAACTGTGAGTTATCATTTGAAGTCTATTCTTTAGTACCTTCATTAGTTGACTGTTCTACCCTTCACTTGACTTTTACTTGTCAACGCTTCTTTAATGACTTCCCGTGAACAACACTAATTACTGCACTTGGTGTGTCATTCTGCTCCTTGTGAGTCACTAGATAGTTTCATAACTTCCTGCCCAATGAAAATTTGAAATGTGAATATCTCCAACTGCTGAAGATTAATTGTGGAGGCGGGCCTTAGGGCAGCAGTAAGGTTGCTTCGAGTTGCGGGAATTGCCTTTTTGCATGAAGGGGTAACGCTGTGTCTATTTGACCCTTCCTAGACCCTGCAGTAGTTGGAGCCTCGGGCATTGGACTGTTTTTTTTTTTTGTGTTGAACATCAATTGTATGCCAAACTTCTTACTGATTGTAAATTTATTAATAAATGTATAAGCTACTGGTGTAACACTATATTTTCTGGTTTCCTTTTCTGAACGTTTATTTTGTTGATTGTATTTGAAGTTTTAGGAATAATTAAACAACCATAGGTGGAACCTGGAATTTATTCTTGGATGGGCCCTTTACCTACAAATTTTAGGTTTTTTTTTCTCCCAATAGATAACAGTAAGATGCTAAAGTGTGAAGTGCATCGATAATGAGAGTATGGGGAGAGACTAGGGGGGAGTGGAGATTTGGCGATGACTTATGAGAGTAAAGGGACAAAAAGAGAGAGATGAAGAGTACACTGCTACTTGCCTACTTTGCTATACACGACAGGGGGTAAGGTTTTAGATTTTTGGTGAATCTAATAAAATATGTTAAGAGTAGCATTTAAAATACATGTAATATATATCAAAAAAATTCAGGGTGGGCCTGGGACTCCCTGGTTGTTGGGTGCTCTGCCTTCGTACACAACAGATGGATTACCTTGGTCAAATTCAAAATGAAACCTCTTCTTATTATCATGATGGTTATTAAGATGATTGTCATTTGTTTTAAAACCTTTTTAAGACATGGAGCTCATTCACAGGATGAGAACTGAAGGCATCAATGATTTTAGAGAATTAGGTCTCATTTCATCTTTAAATATTAGGTTTGTTTTGGTGGAGATAAAAAATACCAAGTTTTGTGATCTGTAAGATGCCAACCTAGGCATTTCTATTATTCTTCATTTTTTTCTCCAAGCAGGATTAGAATTTATGTTTTAAGTTTAGGGGAAAAAGTATACTCAATAATGTCGAAAGGCAGATGATTGCAGAACCACAATGACTTACACTAGTTTTGTGGATAAAAGTCTATTCTCCATCATGCTTATTAAATCCAGTTGTGAGTATGGACCTCGACTCGCATGCACCATTTTAGTCTTTAACAGTCCAGTTATAGAATAAGTTATTCTTGTCATCCTTATATACCAGTGACAACTCTGATATTTTCTGTTTGGCTGTTGATTTCTAGCTTGATTAGAGAGTTAGTTCTCACCAAAGATGTGTTAAACTTCTTTGCTTGTGTTCCTTGAATGGCCAAATTAATCTAGGGTGTGATGACTCTATAAAGAGACTAACATATAGGCCCATAGAAGTTTTGAAAAAGAGAAAGAACCAATAAATCTTTCTCATCCTTCTGCGGAAGAGGCAAAGAGAAGTGCTTTTGTTATGTTCGTGTAATTTTCATTGTTGTTAGGGCAATGTTGTATAATGCTATAAACCTTGCCAGTCTTGAACTGGAGCAACTGTCCACTTGGTTTGATTGAATTTTAACCTCCAAACATGCTACTCGCATACTTATCTAATTGCGTATGCTGTCCTGTAAACTTGTACTAATCTGTTCTGTGTGCGATAGCTTTGAATTTTTTTCTATTATTCATTGTGATTTGTGAATGCACATGCACTTGTTCAATTTTGGTCTTCCTTTTTTCAGGTTTTGGCTTCTGAGGATGACCAGGATGCTCTTACAACTGATCCTGATGAACTGATTGATTCTGAGGTCAGTGAAGGAATAAGTGGAGACGAAGAGGACATTTTTAGAAATCTTCTCTCCAGGGCAGGGTTTCACCTAACATATGGAGATAACCCTTCACAGCCGCAAGTCACTTTAAGAGAAAAACTTCTCATGGATGCTGGTGCAATAGCTGGTTTTCTGACTGGACTGCGTGTTTATCTTGATGACCCTGCTAAAGTAAAACGCTTACTTCTTCCTACAAAGCTAGCTGGTAGCAATGATGGAAAGAAGGTTTCTAAGAATGATGAATCTTCCCCCAGTTTGATGAATTTGTTGATGGGAGTTAAAGTGTTGCAGCAGGCAATCATTGACTTGCTTTTGGATATTATGGTTGAGTGTTGCCAACCTTCAGAAGGAAGTTCTAATGATGATTCCTCAGATGCGAATTCCAAACCTTCTCCTGATGGCAGTGGAGCTATTAGTCCGCTGGAATCTGATAGAGGAAATGGAGCAATGGAATCTGCCCAGCTCTTTGGACACGATAGACTGGATTCTGATGTGGATGATAGCACAAGCACATCTGCTGTGCAAAGCTCGGACATGAATGGGATTGGTATTCTTCAAAAGGCTGTTCCTGGGCAGCCTATTTGTCCACCAGAAACTTCTGCCACCGCTTCTTCAGAAAATGCTTCCCTCCGCACTAAGGTACAAATTAACATCCGCTCAAGTGGTGAAGTTCCTAGCTTGATTTTCTGGTATTGACTGATCAAGGAAGTTGTAATTTCAGACCAAATGGCCAGAGCAGTCTGAGGAGCTCCTGGGATTGATTGTGAACTCATTGAGAGCACTAGATGGAGCTGTTCCGCAAGGTTGTCCGGAGCCAAGACGAAGGCCACAATCTGCACAAAAAATTGCTCTTGTATTGGATAAAGCTCCTAAGCATCTGCAACCGGACCTAGTTGCGTTGGTACCCAAACTGGTTGAGCATTCAGAGCATCCGCTTGCTGCTTGTGCACTTCTAGATCGACTTCAAAAGCCCGATGCAGAACCTTCATTACGACTGCCAGTAAGATAATCTGGAAGTGTTTCAGTCATTTTTTCTTTGAGTTTAGAGATGGTATATGCATTGTGACATTCGGGGACTATCATTCCTTTTGATTGTAGTCTATTGCAACATAGTTTGTAGTCATTTGTGTTTTCATTATGAAATCTATGTTTCTCAGGTTTTTGGTGCACTTAGCCAGTTAGAATGCAGCAGTGAAGTGTGGGAACGTGTTCTATTTCAATCGTTTGAGCTTTTGGTGGACTCAAATGATGAACCTCTTGCAGCGACTGTGGATTTTATATTCAAAGCTGCACTGCATTGCCAGCATCTTCCTGAAGCAGTATGCATCATTTTTTTTTGAAAATCACAATTATATCGGTGATCCTATGGCTTGATATCTGGTATTGTCATACTTTCTTCGAATTTATGTAATCTTCTTTTGTTCGTCTCTGTAGGTCAGATCTGTTCGTATTGGGCTAAAAAATTTGGGCACTGAAGTCTCCCCCTGTGTTCTTGATTATTTAAGTAGAACGGTAAATAGTTGTGCAGACATTGCTGAAGCTATTCTAAGAGATATTGATTGCGATGATGATTTCTGTGACAATTGCTCAGCTATACCCTGTGGGCTTTTCTTGTTTGGTGAAAATGGGCCTACAGAAAGATTGCATGCATTGGATGAGCAAGCTCTCCATGCTAGCCGTCATTTTGCTGATGTTTATATGCTGATTGAGATGTTGTCGATTCCTCTCATTGCTGTCGAAGCTTCCCAAACTTTTGAGAGAGCAGTAGCTCGAGGGGCGATTGTGGCTCATTCAGTAGCGATGGTCTTGGAAAGACGCCTTGCTCAACGATTAAACTTGACTTCACAATTCATTGCTGAAGACTTTCAGCCTACGGATGTGGTTGTAGAGGGAGAAACCATTGAGCAGCTGAGAGCCCAGCAAGATGATTTTGCTTCAGTTCTTGGTCTTGCTGAGACATTATCCCTCTCTAGAGACCCCCTTGTGAAAGGATTCATTAAGATGCTTTACACTATATTGTTTAAATGGTATGCTGACGAGTCTTATCGGCTGAGGATGCTGAAGAGACTTGTTGACCGTGCCGCCAGTTCTACAGACAGTACTCGTGAGGTAGATTTAGATTTGGAAATATTGGTAATTTTAGTCTGTGAGGAGCAAGAAACTGTTAGGCCAGTTCTCAGCATGATGCGGGAGGTTGCTGAACTTGCAAATGTTGATCGGGCAGCTCTTTGGCATCAATTATGTGCCAGTGAGGATGAAATTCTTCGCATTCGTGAAGAAAGAAAAGCTGAAATTTCCAGTATGGCCAAGGAAAAAGCTATGTTATCACAAAAGCTGAGCGAATCCGAGGCTACTAATAACCGCCTTAAGGTACTTGTCTTTTCAAATTGATGTTGTATCTAGATAACTGCTATCACTTCTAATTGATCATTTGAGTATTGTTAGAATTGAAACCTTTTTGAAATGGCAGTCTGAAATGAGGGCTGAGATGGATCGTTTCACTCGAGAAAGAAAAGAGATTTTTGAACAGATACAAGAAGTGGAAAGTCAACTTGAATGGCTTCGCTCAGAACGGGATGATGAAATTGCAAAACTCAGTGCAGAGAAGAAATTATTTCAGGATCGTTTCTATGATGCAGAGTCACAACTCTCACAATTAAAGTCCCGGAAACGTGATGAATTGAAGGTAACAAGTGTATTTTTTTGGTTTTGCCATGCATTTATTCTTCAGCTGCATTTTTCGGTTCCCGTAGACAAAGGTGCTAGTTGGATGGACTGCTTATAGCCCTAGCTTTTGGTATTATGTAGAGAAATGTCTTCCCTCAGATTTGAGGTAGTGGTAATATAATGCTTTTTAACTTTTTAATTGTTGGGGAGGGGGGATCAAACTAGGGGATTATTTTGTGGAGAGATTTGTTTAGTTTAGAGAGTTAACACAATATTAGAGAAAGACGGAGAGTGGTCAGAAAACTTAACTTACCTCTCATGAACCACTTGTATTTATAGTTAACTCGTACCGTACAAAAGACGTGTATACCCTATAGTGGTATACTTATTACAACTAGTATTTACATAATACTCTTAACAAGATTGATTGAATGCATCATAAGGAGCACTGGACTGGATACGTCACTGTTGGTTTTCCGATTCTGTGGTTTACATTGTGTTCTCTAGATGTTGATTTGTACAATCAAGTTGGAGCTTTATGTTTTTGTATGCCAAATTTAGTATACGGACTTCACTCTCCCTTTGTTGTATTCCTCTCCTTTTTGTTATGTTCCTTTAACATCTCCTTCTTGGGCATTTTTTCATCTCTTTGCACCTCACTTCTTTTTGTATTCAAATACCTTCAATATCTCCTTATTGCCCCTTTCATCTCTGTTGAACCCCCGTTTTTTATCCTATATGAGATTGACCATTGTTAGAAAATGCGATTTCCTTATCAAATTGTGTTTTAGTACGTCCTAACAACAAACCATGATTGTCACAGAGGGTAACGAAGGAGAAGAATGCTCTAGCTGAAAGGCTGAAGGGTGCTGAAGCTGCACGTAAAAGATTTGATGAAGAACTGAAACGCTATGCCACAGAAAAAGTGACTCGAGAAGAAATCCGGCACTCACTTGAGGATGAAGTCCGACGGTTGACACAAACTGTTGGGCAAACTGAAGGGGAAAAGCGTGAAAAGGAGGAACAGGTTGCACGATGTGAAGCATATATTGATGGCATGGAATCGAAATTGCAGGCCTGCCAGGTTTTTCCTCCAAACATAGCTTATGTCTTTTGGTGTTTCCATGATCCTACCACCTGATATGATTGTAGAGCTGAACATTTGAAAAGTTTACCTTGAATCTTCTCTCAAATACAAACACATGCACCATGCACCATGCACCATGCACCATGCACGAACCAACCAATGTACTCAAGCACCTGAAGACACTCGTGCACACCCATGGGGTGTCTAGATATTCTTAATATGTAGTTTTAAAATGTTCTTTTTTTCCACTTGAAGTGGTTTGCCAAGCAGTAAGAAGATAGGCATGTCTGGCTATGTGGATTTATAGATGATGTCAATCATATAAAACGATAGATGACTAAAATCATGCAGTTCAAAGATTTGATGTCTAATTGATTGGATCCATTGCATCACTAACGATAGTGTGGAGTGGGTGAGAATGAGTCACTCGACCTCTTCACCCTGTTCAGTCAATGGGATTTTTCGCTTACTGAACCAGTTGGATGACCTTCAATTATATGCAGTGGTTGAGGACCTGCAGACACTCATGCACCTGAAGACACACTCATGCACATCCATGGGGTGTTTAGATATTCTTAATATGTAGTTTTGAAATGTTATTTTTTTCCACTTGAAGTGGTTTGCCAAGCGGTAAGAAGATAGACATGTCTTGCTATGTGGATTTATAAATGATGTCAATCATATAAAACCATAGATGACTAAAATCATGCAGTTCAAAGACTTGATGTCTAATTGATTGGATCCATTGCATCACTAACGATTGTGTGGAGTGGGTGAGAATGAGAGTCACTCGACCTCTTCATCCTGTTCAGTCAAAGAGATTTTTCACTTACTGGACCAGTTGGATGACCTTCAATCATATGCAGTGCTTAAGGAGCCACAAGATCTCACCCGTCGATCAAAAAATTGTTTTATTTTGAACATCTTAAATCTGTTTGGGTATATTTTTTTCGTCAAATCTATGATTGAACTTGAGGTTTAGTCCCTGATATAACATTTAGTTGCTAGCACCACATGATTGTTTCCTCTGTAAACTGTTTTGAGTTTTTAATATTTCTATTGTGTGTGATTCTCCTTCCCTACGTCTATGATTGGTTTTGCAGTGACACGTTCATGTAAACTTAGTATAAATAGCAGATGTGGACTAATCCCCTGATTTATTTGCAGCAATACATACACACCCTCGAGGCTTCACTTCAGGAAGAAATGTCGCGACATGCTCCTCTGTATGGTGCAGGGTTGGAAGCTCTATCCATGAAGGAGTTGGAAACACTTTCGCGGATACATGAAGATGGCCTCAGGCAGATTCATGCCATCCAACAGCATAAAGGGAGTCCAGCGGGCAGTCCTCTCGTGAGCCCCCACACCCTTCCACATAATCATGGGTTGTTTCCTGCCGCACCACCTCCAATGGCTGTTGGACTGCCCCCTTCTCTCATCCCAAATGGTGTCGGGATTCACAGCAATGGGCATGTGAATGGTGCAGTTGGACCCTGGTTCAACCACTCTTGAATGCAAGAGTCGCACAGTGGATGGTGTTTGGGTCTTTGGCCGAGTCGCATGGTGGATGGTGCTTCGGGTCTCTGGCTGGCTGTGTTCACCTAATAGGAGCTTGGTAACATCTCCATATGAAGGGGTGTTGTCTTCTATTTTCTGAGTTTTCTTGGCATTTTGGCTGGTAGGACTGTTGGAACACATTGTGGGAAAAGAAATAAAATATATTCCCAGGAGATGGATGAATGGGAAGGGTAGTGTCTGGTAATTCAGTGTGAGGAGTCCAATAGCACTAACAGTTGCAAATGCCATATTTGCGTTCTTCTTTCCTTGAATTGATTAAAGGCGTTTAGAAAAGTTTTGTTCATTTTTTCTCTACTTCTCTGATTTGGTCCCCTTTTTCTGCTGTTCTTTTGAGTTTTTGATCAAATTCACTGATGGATGGTGGAAGGGGTGTGCATGTTAGATCTCTCTCTGGTGCCATGGTATTTATTCTAGGAAAGACTGCAGTACTAAAACTTACTTTCCAGTATCATATTTAAAGTTACGACTTATACAAGTCAAGTTAAACTTAAGGGGGTCGATAAGAATCAATTCGAAACTTGTTCCTTTTTAGATTTTTTGCACCCAACGGTGTTGTTATTTGGATTTTTTGAGGCAACCCTAACATTTTGTTGTTGGAGTATTCGTTGGATGTTACCACTGCAAGGAATACGGTTGACAATTTTTAACACGATTGGCCAATTTGACACGATTGGCCATTTGACATGAAATTAGTATAACATTGCCGGATATGAATAAACACGACTTACAGGGTGTCCTGGTTTATGTCCTGGTGATTATAAGGGTGTGTTTAGATGATGGTTGGAATAGATCAAAAATCTAAAAAAATATTATTTCCTATCAAATTTAAACGCACCTCTCATTTGAACAAGTTAGAATTTAATGGTTACATCCTATTATTTTCAGTGTTTGGATAACACATAAACACTTCTGTAGGACCAATGGAGAATGGTCATAGAATATGGTACCATTAATTGTTTTGTTTCTAACATATCCAACCTAACACCCTGTTTGGTTTATAAATTAGCCTTTAATTAATTCCAAATAAATTTTTCTTTTATGTAATTTTTTAAAAAAATGTTGTAATTTCATATCCTTTAGACGATTGTTCATATGTCATGACAACTATTGAAAAATTAACTAAAGTTCTCATTAATAAGTTATTTTATTATTAGTTGTTAATTAATCTTGGTCCAAATAGGATATTATTTTATTAGAGATAGTTTATTATTTAAATTAGTTGTGTTTTTTGAGAAGACATTTGGTCATCTTGAAATATGCCGACAGAGTCTTACTTTGACAAAATAAATTTGTTGAAAAAAAAAACCAAATCTATCAAAATACAGGAGGAGGAAACGAAGCAGACAACAGAGAGAGAGCAAGAGAAGAGAAAAGGGTAATTCGATCATTTATATTAGTTATCCTATTTGACAAAAATATACCAGCCCCCCATTGGGTTTCATTTAACCCATGTAGGTAGGTTAAATATGACTTTTCAAATAGGGTTGAGATAAAATCCGAATGAGATTTTTGACGTATTTTTTAGTTACCAAACGTAGGATATATGGACCTCACATGTTTTTTACTATATTCTACTAGAATTATCCCCCTTTAACCTGTGATTCAAACATACCCTAAGGGATTATAATTGTGTAATTCGGTGATTGAAGTTCTCCACAAGCCACCTTTTGGATTGATGGTATTGTTTGTGTTTGCAGGGGTGAAACCAGGAATTTATCACGAGTGGACCAATAAAATATTAGCATAGTTAAAATTTAATGAATTTATATTTTTAAGGGCAAAATCTAGTTTACCTATGTGGTTTGGGTTTTTTGCACATGATCCCCTATGGTTTGGAAATCAACAGATGACCCTCTTACAGTTTTGGACTGAAGTGCTATGTTACTAATTCGTCCAAATTGATGGAAATTGAATCACACGCACCAAATTCAAGAGTATGGACGACAAAAATTTTAGTAAAAGTCAAAATTCATTTTAAAAGTTCAAATATACCTTTGTAATCTTTTCCGAATACAAAGATACCATTGTTCATCATCTTCCACTATTGGTAAAACAAAAAAATAGAAGGGTTTGTCTCACTTTGTACCCCAAAAGATGTCTCGATTCCCACTTTGCACCACGAAAGATTATTTTTCCACATTGCACCCTAAATGTCCAATGTGGTCCTTGGACTAACATCTATTTCAAATTCTGTTAAAATTTGATGCACATCCACATGTGTTGCTCTTGGACAAAAATATAAACTTATTATTCATATTCTTGAATGATATGTGCATCAAATTTTAACGGAATCTAAATTGAAGCGCAACATATTGGAACCAATTTTAAGGGATTCAATATGAGCCTATTGATGAATATGAATGATAGGTATCAGGTAAGGGATTCAATCTGCACCTATTCAGTTCATACTTTTCTTTGACTTGCTTTTTGACTTAAACATTAGAGTCCCTTTGGCCGCCTCCGACTATCGGTTCACTTAGGTGTTCTCTTATCTTGCAGGTTACCCAAGACTTACCACCTTCTTAGTCCGTATGAGGTGGTTACTTTTTATGTGGATTTATTCCTGCATAATTGACGTCGTCTGTGAAAAACGACTAAGTTTTTTGGCAACTTAGAAGCCTTGAATCATGTTTGGCAAAAGAACCAATGACCTAGCGAATAGCTATATGGCTCTTACGGTATATCTAATCCTTGAAAACCCCTAAACTATGGCCATCAAGTGCCCGATCAAACCCTATTCCTAGCTGGGTAGAAACACCCATAAGAGCAACACACTCTCCGTCACAATCTACCAATCCTTGACGCAAAAGGTGAACTAGTCACTGAGGTGCCTTATCAGGAAACAATAGAAAAGAAGATGGAGGAGCTAGAAGCCCTCAAGCAAGGGTTGCTTCACTAAAAAGGGCAACAAACTTGCTAGTCATGTTCAACACCCGCCTCATCAAAGTGACCACTACAACAATTGCTCTCATTCAATCTACCCGTCGTAGGAGCAAGTCTCCAGTAAGGAGCTATTCGACCCATGGTCACTGCCATGGGAGGTACTCATTGAGACGCTCTACTTCTCAACGCTTTCCTAGAGACCCTTCACCTAGAAAGTACCCCCTCGTTATGAGGAGAAGGGGGCCAGCCATTCAAGGAACATCGCTTTGAGGAGCGTAGATAAACAAATGAAAGTTCAAACAATCATTCTAGATGAGATGAGTGGTATGACGATTACAAAAAACAACGTACCTGTTTTGAGCCAGCCTGTGAGGTTCACGATCATCTCCATCATGACATTAGCCAAGATGATCTCGTATATTTAGTTAAGGAGAGGACAAGGCAAATCCTGGTAAAAATGACCATTATTCCTTTTGTTTGATCCATACGATAAGTTGAGCCTCCACGTAAGTTCATTCCTCTATCCTTCGAGTTGTATGATGGTAAGTCTGATCCCGTGCTCCACATAAAGGCCTTTACTAATAAGACGACTCTTTGGATGAACAACGAGGTGTTGATGTGTAAGATGTTCTCTTCCATCTTGGGAAGATCGACTCTTAAGTGGTTTCATGGGATGCCCATGAACTCGGTCTTCTCTTGAGAACAACTCGTCGAGGAGTTCATCTCTCGATTCATAGCCAATAGTCGAGATCTGATGACGATTGATACACTATTGGCCTTGCACCAGAAATGTGGAGAGACTCTCTGTGAGTATGCCACAAGATACTTAGAAACCTATATTGACATAGAAGAGTGTGATGAGAAGACCGCCACTGTCTCTTTTCTTTTGGGCCACCCCAAGGAAAACGAATTGGGGAAGCACCTCACCATTTAGCTACTCCGGAGTATGTCACATTTGCAGGAACATATCAAGAGGTACGTGAAGGTGGAGGATGACAAGGGACCAGTTGACCAGCTGCCAAAGAAGAACCAGATGGAGGAAGACAACACTTCCAACCCATTAAGGAGAGACGAGTCATCCAAAAGAATGAGAGACTACTACCATGGTGCCAACACTATCTTCAAGGAACCTATCTATCAAGTCTTGAACCAAATCAAAGACAAGGAGTATTTTAGGTGGCTACCTAAGTCAATAAGAGATCCATCAAATTGGGATCAAAACCTTCATTGCTCTAATCACAAGGACAAAGGCCAGCAGATGTAGAATTGCTGGGCACTCAAACGCTATCTAGAAGACTGCCAAGGAGCAAGAAGAGAAACAAATCCAACCAGATAACTAAGTTTTACTTTTAATTTACTCGAGAGCGTCTTATTGTTTCAATAAGTCATAAAAAACATTTGTTTCTCGTTTTTCATTAATTAGTAAAGATAAATTTGTTTTTCATAACTCTAAATGTTCCTCTATTTTGTGATTATTGCACCCTCCGTGATTACACCTCCAGCCAACCTCCGCGGTTGTACCTCATGCCAACCTCCGTGGTTGTACTTACAATCAACCTTCGTGGTTGCATCTGAAGCCAACATCTATGTTTGCACCTGAAGCCAAACTCTGTGGTTGCACCTGAAGCCCACCTTCGTGGTTACACCTCAAGCTAACCTCCATGGTTATACCTCAAGCCAACCTCCCTAGTTGCACCCTATAACCAACCTTCGTGGTTGCCTCTTAAGCCGATCTCATTGGTTGCACCTCAAGCCAACTTCCATGATTTCACCTCAGGCCAATCTCTTGTGTTGCACCTCAAGCCAACTTCCAAGGTTGCTCTTTAGGCTACTTGACCTCTATGCAACTTCTAAGGTTGCCCTTTAAGGCTACTTGGCCTCCATGGAACCTCCATGGTTGTCCCTTAGGCTACTTGGCCTCCATTCAACCTTTAAGTTTGCCCTTCAGGCTATTTGGCTTCTATGCAACTTCCTAGGTTGACCTTCAGGCTACTTCACCTCCATACAACTTCTAGGGTTGCCCTCTAAGTTACTCAGCCTTCGACAGAAGACCAATAGCTTCTACAATTGCTCAGTAGGTTATTAGCCTTTCTTAAGGATTTGCCATCTACGAATATCAGACACCTTAACTCGTGGCTACTTTTTCCCTTTGGTCAAGAATAGGGGGCACAGGTGTTAGAAGACTCGAACCACCACTACTAGGAATTTCTCCATGATCTCATAAATCAGGAAGTCATTTTCAGGCCATGGAACGTCCTCCCAAATTGGATATGACCTATCAATCCTGGTTGCTTTGGGAGCTCATGCTTAACCATCTCTGAAGGACTTATATCTTCTTGAATTTGTCCAAAATCTTGGAGTAATAATCGCACACAACATTTTTCACTTGCT